GCGAAGAGGCGCTGAGGGCGGCGTGCGGGGGCGGCCTTCCGGGCGGAGAGCTGCCCAGTGCGAACACAGTACCAAACAGTCCCGAAATAAAGCAGGTAACACGTGCGCGCTCCGTATGTCTCCCTTCACTCCAAGATTCGCGCTCCCGCGCGGTGACCGGGTCGCGTTTTCTCCTCGGGCACTCCACCTCCTCTTCAGCTTCTAGGCAGTACTGGAAGCTGGTAGCTGCAATCGGTCACCCTGGAAATATTTTCATTTTGCTTGACATTGAAGAGTGGATGTCTCCTTCCTTCTTAAAAAAAAAAAAAAATCCTATGTTTGCCCACCCACACTCACAAATGCTTTATTTCTTTAAAACCTCAATCTTGAAACATCAGTATATTGAAATCAGTTCTTGCCATTCCTGGATGCTGCTGTAATTCTCTCGGGAGCCTGGGAACGTGAATTTGACAGTCCCGGCTTCGAGGGTTTAGGGATGGTTTGGTGGGGAGGTAGAAATGAGTGGCTAGCTTGTGATTCAAAAGCTTTACTCGAATCTCGCGCACAGGGCCAGGGCTAAGGCCCATCATTTCCCAGGGATTGCAGCACACGGATCAGATGCGTCTCTAGCCCCCACGGGCTCGAAGCACGCCACCTTGTAAGGAGGACGTAGCCCAAGAGAAGAGGGAGGTGGAGATGCATAGGTCACGAGTACCTTTCTCCTCCTCTTTAAGGTAAAATACTCTAGCCATGCAAGCATTTTTCACTGTGATGAGCTCTTAGCTAAATGATCTGGCAGACTTGATATTTCTTTTTTAAATGAAGGGAGAAAAAGCAGGGCCTATGTATGACATTTAAATCTAGCACAAAAATGTAATAGATGAATCCTTAAACTAACAGGGAGCTATTCCAGTGTTCCCACCCCCAACTTTGAAATGGGGCGCGGGCAGAGGGAAGGGTAGGGGAGAGAAACATTAAAGAGAATAATACCCAATTATAAATAGTTAACGATTTTAATATATCTATTAGGAATGTTGTGAGGGATCTTCGAATATTTGTCCCCAAATATCCTTCCACTGGTTGGATCTATTTCTACAAATCCGCTTACATTAAAACAAGCTATGCATGAAGAAAAATTCCAGGGTTCTAGCAATCTACTTTGCAAGCAACATCGGTCGCCAAAGGTTGATTTCTAAGCTTTGGGTTTGCCACAGCTAGAGAGATCTGTGAGCCCCAGTTGTCCGGTTCACTTCCCCTTCCGCTCTTTCTCCTCCTCAGGCCCATTCTTCTCAGTGGTTCCTCAACTGGCTTGCTTTCCTTCCTCCTCCCCTCTTCCTTCTCCTCTTTTCACTAAGCCACCCCTTCTCCCTCCCTCCTTTCCTCTCCCCTCCACTCCTCCACCTACTCCTCCCCATCCCCCCAACCCCCCTTCTCACCACGCTTATAATGGCTCACGGGGCTCCCTCTGAGGTGGACGGCCCGGTACGTTTTCGTAGTCGGTCTAGCGTGAAATGATTCGGTGTAACCGGATTCTTGGGAAAGGACAGGTTACGTAAACATTTACTGATGTGGAGTAACTATACTATTTGTACTCTGATATGCAGGAAGGAAAGTGTTGATTAACACAGAAGAAAAAAAAAGCGAAATTAGCTGATTGCATGCTCATAAGTGCAAGCTGTCATTGAACTGCTTTTAAAATAGACACAGCTGGGTGTTTGTGTTGAAAAATTTCTTGTGTTTTTGCTAATACTGAAATAAGCATGATTTTGTATACCAAACATTTTCAGATCATTAAAATTTGTAATCTGTGCTGGTTTTAAACACAAAGAAAAGAAACAGAATCATTTCGATGTAAAATTTGCTGATATTATATTAACTCAATCAGGTCTGTACAAATTGTGCATTGTGTCTTCTAAAATCTGTTTGATCAATTTAATACACAAAGTGCCAAACGTGGGTATTGTTTGTTAACATTGGACATTTTATTCCAATCTGAGCTCAGCAGTGAACTGGAGGAGTGTTCCTTGAATACAACACCAGCACTGACTGATGAATTTTTAATGTTTTGAGGTAGTGCTTAGGTTAAAGCTAAATGTGTATTGTTTTGCTACCCTGTAGAAGAAATTAGCAGGAGAAGTAAGGTTTTCTTCTGTTTACTTTCAAAGAGCAAAACTGGGGTTTGGAAAGTGAGAGCTTCAGTAATCTGATTTTATATGTCAAGGCTTATAGTGGCCTGGAAAATGTTTTTGCATGCGAATTAAAGATGTGCGTGGGATTTTTAAGGTTGCATGAATGCAAGTCTCTCCAAACAGGATGTTTAATAGTAAAAACACAGAATATAGTTTGGTATAATATTAAAACTAGTTTCCTGATGCAAAGGTTATTTGCAGTTTCCAAAAAAGCAAGTTTGAATCCCTTTAAATAATTTTAATTGCTCTTTATGATGAGATGGGAATATATATCAGAACACAAACAAAAACATATGTATATCAGCCTTCTTCAACAAAACATGCACTGTTTACTCAGCGGCTTATATTTGTATCAGCAATGGTTTCTTTTTAGATCAGCTGCTAGCTGAAACAGAGGGGGAAGGGACTTCTGGACAAAGTATTGTGAAGTTGAAAGTCTCTGGATGGGGCTTTGTATATCCTACCAACCAATTTGGGTGCAAATTGGATTTGAAGTCCTGCCCACGTCCACCACGGGCCTCTTCCCTGAGCACATAAAGCCCTGTTTTCAGCCTCTGTGATTACCTTCAGAAGACAGAGGGCAGGCAGCCAGTGGTCTCAGACCGGAAACCAATTCCCCAATCAGTGTAAGTTTTCCTCCTAATCAATTTAACCTCACACTTATAAATCTGCAAATGTGTAGGTTAGTGAAGTAGTGAACATAACAGTGTATCAGAGTAAATGTGATTTGTTGGTTTACATAGTGGTGAACTTGTAGGCCTCAGTACTCATCTACCACCCACCCACCCACTCACAAAGAGGACAAGAATTGTATAGTAAGCAATTCCAATGGAAGATTCTTTGGAAATGAATTAGATAATTCCTTCTAGATTTTTAATTAACCTTCAAGACTCCACAGTGTACTTCTGAACAGGGAGGAGCACATTTTCATTTTATTTCTGAAGGTGGATGTTACATTGTCTTCCTCGAAGACAATTCTTTGCTTTGGGCCTCCCTTACCTTCTACTAACAAGGGTGGGCCATATTTATCTATCTCCACCTTTCCCTTGGGAGCAGGGACAAAGTCTAGCTAAAGTTCTCTTCTTACAAATGCACAGGACCGTTGGTGACCCCTTGACATGTGGGAGTCAGCAGATCCCATGCTGAGCCATCCAGGTATTTTCAAGAGATTCTGTAACAAATGAAGTCTGCCCTCCCTAGAGCCAACTTGTCTGTAATCACTTCCTAACAGCAGGTAATGGTGCTAACATTTAGTGATTAGAAGTTACTCTTTAGCGTGTTGTATCCTTGTTCTGTGGGTTTTGGTTACAGGTTATACGATTAGGTTTGCGAGAACAGTAGTGAACTAAACTTCTCAGTAAGAGGTCTTCACACCAGGGAAGTGTTACTTTTCCTCAGCAGCCCTGCCTCGTCACTCATTAGGGAGCTGCAGGTTGTCAGAGGCTGCTCTCAGCAGGCTCATGCGCGCACCCTTAATGTCCTCGAGGGCGCGCAGATATGCGGGGAGTGGGTACAGAATAAGGTGGAAGAATGAATAAGGATGACTCCCAATATCAACTTTGGGCATACACATACATGTGCATGTATGCGCACGCGCACGCGCGAGCACACACACACACACACACACACACACACACACACTCAGAGCTCTAAAACTAAATTAAGAAGCGGATGATTAAGACAAGCGTCTACTAGGCCTGTCATTTCAGCATCCTTCCATCATAACATTGTGGCACTGGCAATTTTGCTTGAGAACCTTGAGAAAAAAAAATCTATGGGAGAGCCTCATATTTGAGACTCCGAAATGTTTAACTTCTATAAGCTAGGGAACCACTTCAGGAAAGTTAAAAGGAAGAGGAAGAAGATAAGGGAAGTGGTCTTCATGGCACATTTCTTTGAAATAGCCATGTGTCCGGTGAAGCTACATCCAATGGCACCCCAAAACTTCTGATACCAACGATCCCAGAGAGACTTACAGCATAATGCCATTACCCTAGAGCCAAGACCCCTTGAGTTTCTCTGAACAATGTCTCTGTAGAATACCCTGAACACCTCTTGTGAATAGGAAGGCCTGCTGCCCTTTTATGCGTTTTCCTGTTATTTGGCAGCAACTAGGAACTTTTGAGAGTGGGGAGTTTAAGAATTCGAGACCCTAGTAAGTAAGAAGGGAAGCTTTGCTCCACTTGCAGATCAGATCCAATTGGGAGAAATTCTCTCACACACCAGCTGAGCAAGCCAGTCCTGAAAGGCGAGTGTCTGTATTTTCCCCTAGTTGCCCAAGGAATGAATGCAGTCTACTTATCCAAGAGGACAGGAAAGACTGATGAGAAAGAAAGAAGAAAGAGTGGAAGGCTGGTCCCAGAACTAGAAATGGAAGACAAGGTTTGGCTTACTAGTTCTCTCCACCCTGTCCCATCCCAGTATTTCTGAAAAGGGAGCAATAGACTTACAAAACCCAGCATGCATGACTATGCTGTCTTGCCTAGTTTGTCCATTAACACATCTTGAAAGGAAAAGAAAGAAAATGATTTCATAAACACACACACACACACACACACACACACACACACACACACACACACACACCCCACACGGTGATACAAAAGCTTGCAGGCAGGCTGGAAAAGTGCAGAGCTCCTTTGACCCAGAGGCTCTAACTATCCTATCCCTAGTCATACCTTTTCGGAGTGTCAGTTTGATTTTCAGTGGGAGCCTAAATCACTTTCCTGAGAACACAAAGATCAAATCCCCTATGTTCTGAAGCAACGTTCCAGAAGGCCCTCGAAACTCCAGTTGTGTGAGAAAACTGAAAAAAAAAAAAAAAGTGCAACTACTAGAGGTTCACCGCAGAAACAGTCACTCCGAAAGAGTAAAGGACCACTGTGTAGGACAACCAAGGGTTATGTGTGAGATGGATAAATGTAATACAGGGAATACTAATGCCCATTGCAAGTCTGGAGAGGAAGGAGAGGGAAAACTGCATTCTTGAGGGTATTCCATCTCAAAGCCTCCCTTAGTCCAGAGAGAAAGCAACCTGTGTACTAATAAAATGTCTGTTTCCTTACCAAAACTTAAAACCAAGCCCCCCAAACAAACAAAAATCCAACCAAACAAACAATCACAAAAACTTCCAATGCGCACAATTCATACCCACCTGCCTCTTCGCTCTCTAGTCCTGGTTCTTCTAGGTCCTCCCCATGCCCCACCCTACCCAAACCAAAGCAGAACAAAACCTGTGGCACTAGTGTTTGCCAAAGGGCCCGTCTGCCCACCCTCTTGGGGGCGGCAATGGCTGAAGGGCCGAGGTTCCTGGCGGCTGAGCTTTGCCGACGGACTCGCCAGTCAGCACGACTCTGCTCTCCTCTCCTCTCCTCCCTGCGCGCTCACCCTGAGCTCCT